GAAAGAGAAGTACACAAATACAGGAGGAGACCAAAATCTATATGGTAGAAAAGCACTGCAAACTCAACTGCAACATAAAGCTAGAGAACGTAATTAGGATCAACATATCCATCATATTGAACAGTGCTAAGCCTCATATTAGGAAAATATGTCAGGTTTGTTTTTAAAAACTTACAGTACATAAAATAAAAATAAGAAAAATTTAAAGTCAAAGAATAAGCAGCTATGTTAGATAAGTGCAAACAAGAGATGGTAGAGTAGCGAAGACTGAAATTAGACAAGCACAGAATAAAAGCCTAGAAGTAAACCCACGTAAACAGAGCCAACGCGTGAGGGAGGGCAATCTTCCCTACTCAGTGTATGAGTTTAAATGTCAGTCTCAGCCAAGACACCCTCCAGAAGCACCCAGAAATATGTTTGGCCAAATATCTCGGCAACCCACGGCCCAAGAGCTGACATACAATGAACCATCCCCATGATTAAAAATAATGTGGAGATTTACTCTTTTTCATGACACGTAATGATTTAATTGGCATAATAGGTTTTCTGTTTCTTGTAGATTTGAATGCATTTCATGAGGGACCAAACAGACATAATATAATAAGGAGTGGGTTTAGCTCTAAATTCAAATGGAAACATCTGTATTGTGTTGTACAAGCCACAGAGAGTATTCGTCCTGAAGACGGACTCATCACATGGGTGGAGCCTGGAGAATCAAGTCAGCTACTATTTGTTCCTTTCAATTCCTGTTATGTGTTTAGATGCCAGGTTATGTGATACATTCAAATTCATAGCAATAATATCTTTATTACACAAATTTATCATTTATTAGAATAAAATCTTTGTCTAGTTTTTGCTATATGAATATGAAATTGTCTTCATTTTTTCATAGACTTTATTTTTAGAGCAGTTTTCATTTGCACTTCTCTGACAATTAGTGGCATTGAACACCTTTTCATGTACTCATTGGCCATTCAGGTATCTTCTTTGAAGAAATGTCTATTCGAGTCATCTACCCATTTTTGAATAAAATTAAAGAAAAAAGTTAACAGGAAATTATTGTGACCTAGAGCTTGGTGAAGAATTCTTAGACTTGACACCAAAATTAAAAATTAGTTAAATTGGACCTCAATGAAATTAATATTTTACCCTGTTAAGATAATGAAAAAACCTATAGACTGGAAGAAAGTATTTGCAAACCACATTTCTGACAAAGGACATATCTAGAATATATAAAGAAATCTCAAAACAACAGTAGAAAATAACAACAGCAAATAAATTAGAAAATGGTTAAAAGGCATGAACAGACATTTTCCTGAAGAGGATTTACAGGTGACATCTAAGTACATGAAAATTCAGTCAGCATCATTAACTATTAGGGAAATGCAAAATAAACCATGACAAATTATCACTACACACCTATCCGAGTAGCCAAATTTTTTTAAAGTGACAACATCCAATGCTGACAACATCAAATGTGGAAGAACTGGGTCACTCATCCAGTGTCGCTGGGAATGTAAGATTGTATAACTTCTCTGAAAACAGTCTGGCAGTTTCTGAGAAACTAAATATGTCCTCACCCCATGACCCAGCAATTGTACTCCTGGGCATTTATCCCAGAGAAATAAAAACGTATCTTCACACACAAAATCCTAGACATGAATGCTTCTAAGAGCTTTATTTGTAACAGCCAAGCACTGGAAACAACACATATGTCCTTCAACAGTTGGATGGTGAAGCAAACTGTGTTCCATCAACCATGGAAGCCCACGTAGCAGTAAAGGGAAGAAACTGTTAATACGCACAAAAACCAGGATGGATCTCAAGGGGATTTTGTTGGGTGAAAAAAAGTAACCAAAAGGATTACACACTTTATCATTCCACTTATATAAAATTATTGAAATGACATGACTTATAAACATGAACAAGGCATTAGTGGTTTCCAGGCTTTAGGGATGAGCAGAGAGAGAGCTCGTGGCTTAAGAAAGGCAGCACAAAGGATCCTTGCGATGAACGGTTCTCCATCTTGACTGCGGGGGTGGGTCCAGGAATCGGCACACGTGATCAAGTTGCATAGAATAAAATGTGCACGCACACACACACACCACACTCACACTGGAATGCCTATAAAAATGACAACATTTGAATAAAGTCAGTGGATTGTATCAATACCAATTTCCTATTGTATGATTGCACTCTAGTTAAGCACGGTGACCCTGCCAGGTAAGATGGGGTGAAAGGTATATGGGTTCTCTCTGTAATATTTCTTACAATTGCATGTGAACCTACAATTGTGTAAAAAATATAAATAAATCACTTAGACCAAACGCATATTTTAGTATGAACAAAAACTCAGAATTTGAGTAGCAGTGATATGTCAATGCAGATGCCTGGATTGTGACAAATATCCCACTCTGTGCTGATGGTGGAGAGGCTGTAAGTCTGTGAAGGCGGGTGGTACAGGGGAACTCTCTGTACCTTCCATTCGGCTTTGCTGTGAACTTGAAGCTGCTCTCAAGGTTAAATTGAATTAAAGAAAGAAATAAAATAAAGCCTTTATTATTATTACTAATCAATTCTATTCTGAAATCCAAGGTTGTCATCTTTCTCTCATCGTCAAGTTGCAGCAAAGAATGGATCAAGTCTAGTTTCCTTCCAAGAGGCTCATGCGTCTCCTTAGAGATCATCCGGAGCTGAGTATCAATTACTTCCCCCTTTAATCTTTGTTTCATTGAGTAGCAGCCTTGCAGCTATTTAAACAGAAGCGCACTTACGAGGCACTGAGCATTGTATCTTCCCCAAGAGACGTATTATTAATTTATATTCCATCCATTTGCAGTGATTCATTCCTGTGGTGACATTGCTTCAGTAACAGGGACATATTTCTTCACTATCCCTGGATCTCCCGCACGTGGTGACAAAAGAGGCTCCTTCAGGACTCGCATTCGTGTGTAAGTGACTCTCTCAAGTCATCGGTATCTTTCTGAACAAAGCTGAAGACACCATTTCTAGCGCTGTTACCTTCCATCTACCTGACAGATGTTTCCCATCCATCACCCTCATCCGCTGGGAGAGGAGCGTTTCGAAATTAAGTCAGCGAAACAGAAGCCAGAGAGCCTCCGACTCAATCCTCCTCACCGACTTCCTGGAGACGTTTAAGCAGCCACAGAAGCTGTGTTTCTTTTGAAGGAATCAAATCAATATTCTCTCTCTCTTTTTTTTGCAGTGCAAGTATTTCTTTTGAATTAGCTCTACTTATCACTAAGATAGTTTGCTAAAAACACACATTTGAAACCACTTTTCTTTTGAAATATTAAACTATGATATATGTACAAAATATGTCCAGTTCTTAATGTACAATTTTTTTTTTTTTTTGCGGTACGCGGGCCTCTCACTGTTGAGGCCTCTCCGTTGCGGAGCACAGGCTCCGGACGCGCAGGCTCAGTGGCCATGGCTCACGGGCCCAGCCGCTCCGCGGCATGTGGGATCTTCCCAGACCGGGGCACGAACCCGTGTCCCCTGCATCGGCAGGCGGACCCCCAACCACTGCGCCACCAGGGAAGCCCCTTAGTGTACATTTTTTTTCAATTGATATTACTATGTCTGTCTTGCCTTTTTTTTTCAATACGATAAATGTTAATTGCTTTTTGAGTTACTTCTTGAGTTGAGATTTCTTCAAGACGTTGGACCAATGGGAAGACCAAGTCAAATATTTTGAACAGAAGCTGTCTTTAGTACTCTCACCGCACCAACAATTTGAATTTCATCTGATTACATTCTTTTGTTCCACAAAAATATGAATTTCCCACTTGTTGGTGAGCAGACTGCTTGGACATCATATACTTGGCCTGACTCCTCACAATTCTAACCTGAGTCTCCAAGCTGACGTCTCATGTTTAAGGGGCTTCACTCCTAGGAGGTGAAGTGGGAGGTGGCAGGAAGGCGGTTTAATCGCTGTGACAGTTTGCCCACGTGTTCCCGTCACAGCAGGCAAGCCCGGGGAGCTCTTGCTGTCAGCGGAAGGCGTGACTACAATGTGGCCTCGTGCTTTCTGTGCTGTGGGATTTCACGTCACGTTGTATTTGTCTTTAATCTTCTTCTGGCACATTAACTATGTTGCACACATAATCTCTTGACTGATTTCATTTGCTCGGGAATCACACACATTTTATGTGCTATTGAAAGAAGCTTGCCGTTGATGTAAGAAGCCTAGAGCTTAGATTTAAAATGTATGAATCATTACTGCACATTTTTAATATGCTTACCCATATTTCAAACAAAGTCCCAAGCCAAAATGTGTACCACTAAATATATTTCACCTTGACATGAATGATTTCATGTACAAACAAGTCCAAGTAAAAGAGAATTTATATAAAACATGGATGTTTTATTCTCCCCTTCATATGCTTATGTATGATAATGCAAATGGAATAATCTGCGTGTATCATGATGGAGTTTGAAAATGTAATGGTGGAAACTATTATCTTTATGAATGAAAGAAAAATAGAGTACAGAGTGTTCCTTACTACACGTAACGGAAGCGGCGGATATGTGCATACAGCTTTACAAGTGATGAAGGGCGACTGTCATTGAACAAAAGGGCACACACACAAAACACTAGTTCCTCCCATCAAAAAACGTAAACATGGGCTGGACAGGTTTTTCACCATGAATTTTCTTAGAATTTAGTCTGCTTTTGGTCCCCAGGTGTCTATCAAGTGGTTCGCAACTGCTCTGGTGGTTTTGGAAGGAGAGGCAGAGGTAATTTGATTGTAAACATTTCTCAACTTTCATGAATATCCTATTAAGAGTTTTACACAGAGATTTTTCTGTATTTTGCAGAGCCACATGGGTGTCTGAGCAAAAACAAAAAAATCAGTAATACTGATCTTAGTTTCAAAGGTTGATATTTTATTTATCATGGATTTCTGCATTAATTTTGATTTTTTAAATTATTGCATGAAGTACTATTTACCTGTTTTATTGTGTGTTTTGGTGTACCCTTAAATTTTGCACCTGAGGGGAGAAATGAACATGAGTAGTAAGTGAACTGGTCCGGCCAACCCTGAGTCAGGGGGCACCGTTCCCCTTCATGTGAGTCACACACTATTGCTTTCTTTTGTTACATTGACATTTTGTAATTAAAATACTGCTTATGGATCAGTGACTCAAAAGGATTCATTAAAGCAAAAAGTAACAATTACTAGTGAAGAAATACTAACACATAAAGTATAAAAATAAAAACTGAGGATAACAACATAAATGGAGACGATGAGTCATGGAGTGTGATTTGAAATACCAGTGAGGAGTAAATGTTTAAATGCTTCAGTTGCACCCAGGCTCTGAAGAAGTAAATTTTGAATAGGAAACACAATTATAATGATCTAAAAAGTGGGGTTTTTTTTAATGATACCCAAAATCCCTAGTTCCCTGTACATTACCTTTTATAAACTTTGTCAGAAAATGGCATAAAGCCAGCAGAATGTGTATCATTTTATTTTTCCAAAAATGTTGGCTTTCTAAAACACGATCAAAAGCATGTTTTATGATAAGAAATGGATTGGTTTTTGCCCTGAAGACTCAAAAGAGACACAAACTAGAGAAATTTCACTTAAAGGAATACTAGTCATGGCAAAAACATGCCCAAGAAACTCTATTATTGAAAAGTTTAAAAACCAGCACCAAAATTAATGGAAAGGTCCTATGACTGAGGCAAACCTGAATGAATGTTGACCACCCTATTTATCATATGACACTGTGGAAATTACACATCGGGAGAAGAATGATTGTACTCACGCTGCTGGAAGAAATCACGAAAACACGGATCAGCTCCCGGCATGCATGTGAGAACCACTGCGGGGAGAGTGCTGCTTCTGCTTTTCACTGAGTGGGAAAGGTTTTTTATTTATTGAGCAACTTTTTTTGTGAGCCATGGAGGAGACTGAAATCGTGTTTAAGAATCAGCATAGGTACAGCAAGAAATGCCTTAATGCCAATCTTCAGACTGTTTATCCACAGACAATTGGTCACAAACAATATACTTTATGGTTAAAAGAAACAGCGAAGTGTATGACGTTCGCAAGTCACAGACACGCCCATCAGCTGTCCATCACGCCACGCCCAGAAATGGGCCGTAGGGTCAAGCCTGCCCTGAACAGTTAAGTATGTTCTCATCCCAGGGCACAGATGCACACTTCCTTTGTCAAAATGAGCGATATGATTTCTTAAATTCTTCAGAAAGACATATTTTAACATATTATGTTACACTGAAAAGCCTGACCCTCTCACTTCAGTCCTGAGATGACAATTTCTTTTTCAATGTTGAGAAAAAGCTATCATTTCTTAAACAACGGTGGAAAATCTTGATCATTGAATAATTTTTACCCACTTCTTAAGTCTTTTTAAAATCATGTCTAAATTCAACAACAGAACATTCAGAAATCTATTCCAGGTGTGAATGAAACCAAAGAAGTGATAGGAAATCCTTTCTTTGTTTTCCTCCAAGCTGAAATTTTAAACTTCCAACTTTTAGGTTTTGTTTATTCATCTAATCTGAAAAATGTCTCTGAAGTTTTTGAAACTGTCAAAGGCAATTCTGAGTTTCCAGTTTCCTGTTAACTGTTTAACAAAGGTCCCAACACTCTTCCTAAAAGTATACGTGTGAATTAGAAATGTCCACCCTAATAAAGATTTGTTACAGAACGTAATGGCATGTTAAACCTTATTTATTGCTCAAGCCCTCTCTTGAGTTTAATACGTGTCAAGAATTGCAATCAGTATAGCTTCCGGAAATGAGAGTATGCACACACACACACACACACACACACACACACACACACACACACGAAATGCATATTATTACAGTTTTATTTGATTTTTCTTAAATTTGTTGCCTCTTATGTGGAACAACCATGACTAACTGATTCCAAATGTTTGAGAAACTTTACTTCAAATTTAATATCATTTTATTTTTACTTCAATACAATACCAATGTGATTGACAATAACTGACTAAATGTTAATTAATTGTTAATTGATTAAATACTAACAAAATGTATTTGGCTTTAAATTTGCAGTTCAAACAAATGAACATGGTATTTATTTTATGATTGTTTTCTCATCACAAGCATGAAGAAATAGCTACAGAGAACTTCCTTATTCTCCCACAGATAGTCCTTAATTGCTAAGAAAATAAATGATGAATTCAGCTCCCTTGGGGAGCATTCGCCCAATGGCTCTTCTGTGATGTTGATAACATCACCGATATCTGCATATAGATAAACTACAACTAAGCAAAAAACACAATTACCCCAGGTTAATCAACTAACAAATATGTGACCTATATTTAAATCCAGGTCAGCCAGTTTCCTAAGCCTGTCTTCTATTGATAACCTGATTATAAAGTTAATAAATTATATTTTTCACATTTGCACATAGAAGTACAATTCCTCTTTACCTTTAAAGCCACCAACTCCAGAAATGCACTATTCTGCTTCTAATTACTCTATACCGAATACAACTTAGAAGGCTCAGGAGGAAGAGAAATAAAGTGTAGAGAATGTCTTTTGTATGCCAGGCATTAAGCTAGAAATTTCACAAATTTTAATCATTTCCAACTGGCCGCTTCCATCTAGCATTTTGTGGGAAATCTTAATCTCAATGGGAATTAGAATTACATAGTAGGTTCTGTGAATTTATAGAAAGCAATCTATCCTAGTGATCTTATTCACAATGTATGACTTCTCATATTCAATTAAAGACAATAAACTGGTTTAACAAAATAGTTCGGTCTGATGCAGAATCATTTATTTCAATGATCTATACAATAATTTATAATCCTTGCCAGATAGAACATCTTAAGGTTGTAACCAAAATCTTTAGTTTCTATCCTTTGATATAATGGGCTTCTATATACCATATGAAAGGCACTTAAAAAAATTTTATTAAAGTAGAGTTGATTTACAATGTTGTGTTAATTTCTTCTGTACAGCAAAGTGACTCAGTTATACACATATATAATTCTTTTTCATATTCTTTTCCATTATGGTTTATCACAGGATATTGAATAGAGTTCCCTGTGCTCTACAGTAGGACCTTGCTGTTTATCCATTCTGTATATACTAGTTTGCCTCTGCTAATCCCAGACTTTCGAAGTGCTGGGAGTTCAACAGTGAAGGAGGAAGACAGAAGCCCTACTTTTATATCTTATGGGCTCCTTTCTCGTGGGGTAAACAGGTAATAAATGTAGTCGGGTGATATTTAGTGCATAGTGCAAGGCCTCTGTGGGGTTCTTTTTAAAGAAATTTCAAAGTTTTACTTTATATTTTCCTTTTGACGGGTGAAATTGGAATCATGTCTTGTGTTGAGAGTATTCTGTAATTTCTGAGAATTACTTATTCTTGGCATTTGCCCATTTCTCCAATGGATTCTTGACCTTTTTCTTTGGTTGGTAGGAGTTCCTTAATGTTAATTAATTAGCCTTTGTGATGAGTTGTCAACATTTTCCTGTTTTCTTTTTTTTTTTTGTCTTTACCTTTATCAAGGCCTTTGTTTAATTGGGCCTTTTCCCCCCTTTATCTAGCCTTCTAACAAGGTGGATATAAAAGTTTAGGGCCCCGAAGTGTCTATTTTACGCTTTCAGCCTATGTGGATTGCATGTCCACTCTGATGAGCAGTAGTCAGGAACAGGAACTTTCAGAAACCTTCATGAAGTTGATCACAGAGGACACGTGTGTCCTTATTAATTACTACCCATCATTCAACCTGTGCTTTTAATTGCGACTCTCTCCACACAACCTGGCGGACCCTGTTTTACTTACATATAAATAAAAGTAATTTATGTCAAGCACATTTTTCCTCTGTTAACAATGGACAGAAGAACTAGGGTAAACAATGCTGATGTAACGTGTCTTTAGCTTAAATTCTTTGATAAAACTGAGAAAAGAGAATTTAAGTGATTTAAGCGTTCATTTTTTAAGAGTGTGGGGCATTCTGTATGTAACATTTATTTGTTCACATCTATTTTATAGACTCTCTCAGCTTAATTTAATTTTATTGATGCTCTAATGAGTCAAATTTCTAAAAATCCTAGCTTGATATTGATATTGATGGACCATGATATGGGTAAAAAGAACACATCAACCTCTTCATTACTAATTTAGTTTATAATTTTACTTTTCCACAAAAAAACAATTCCGTGACTAACAGACCTACCAGAAATGTTTGCATGAAGTGCTTAAACATATGGCTATTTTCCTGGCAACTGCCCGTCTACCTTCCTTTGAGAACATCTAATACTTGTATTTATTGTGGTCAACTCTTTGGAGAATTAACAGCATCTTCTAACTTGCTTTTGCAATCATTACTAGCATCCAAGTGATGTCAACAAAGATGTGAACAAGGATGAAAAAACAAATCAATAATCGATAGGAAACATGTACTTGAAGAGTCAATAGAAAATCCAGATGTATGTAAATGATCGCTGATGATCTAAGCCTGCCCTCTCTCTGATGGGAAATGCCATCCACGTCTCTCATTGGGTAGCACAGCTGGAGGAGATCACCATAACGATACAGGAGAGTCATCGGTCATAGGCTCTTCTATTAGTAATCCCTACTGCACAAGGCAATTTGCATTAACACAATTGCACAATTCCTCTTCGTTTACTTAAATGAATTCCCTCCTTCACACTGCAGAGAGGGGGCTAATGTCCTCAGAGCTACAGAGACAGTCCTGAGCCAGTTTCTTTGAGATAGGAAGACAAATTCTCTGACATCAAATCCCTGTGGGGAGTGCCTTCCATGGACGGCAACACAGAAGTCGACGTAAACCTAAAGACAAAACTATCAAATCTTGAGAATAAACAGAAGAAGAAGAACGCTTCCTTCACCTTGGAATAGACAGAGGCTTCTTAAAGAGAAGCCACAAAAAGCATGAACCATAAAAGAAAGATGAATACAAGTCAGTAAGACTCATTACAAGAATCAATAGATGAGACACACTGGGAGGAAACGGGTTCCAATACGTATTCACCTGAAGACTGACATCCAGGGTACATAAAGAACGCCGAAAAGCCAACTGCACGATTACAGAAAGCCAAACATAAGAAAATTAAAAATTAAAGTAAGAAGGAAGTGTCGCACATAAGCGATATCATATGACACTTGTCTGTCTCTGTCTGAGTTACTTCACTCAGTATGACAATCTCTAGGTCCATCCATGTTGCTGCATCTAAAAAAGAGTGGATATATGTACATGTATAACTGATTCACCATGCTGCACAGCAGAAACGAACACAACATTGTAAATCAACTCTACTCCAATAAATTTTTTTTAATTAAAAAAATTTTTTAATTAAAAAAAAGAATGAAATATCACAATAAACATACCAGAATGGCTAAAACAAAAATGAGAAACCAGTGTAACAGGATGTGGAGCAGTGGAAACTCTCACATGTTGTTCGACAGGAGTGTAACTTGATCATCTATATTTTGGCATCTATAGTTTGACAGCATTTACAAGAGTGAATCCTATGTACACGTTATGACCCAGCATTTCCATTCCTGACGATGAATGCTTACGTTCACCACACAATACATAAAAGAGTTTTCATGTGAGTACAGTTCATGATTGCCAAAACTTGGGAACAGTTCCCATGTCTAGAAACACCCAAATGAATAAACATATTCAGGCATATTCTTAAAAGTGCATTCTACACAGCAAAAAACAGAGCTAATTACTGATATAAACAAGCATATAAATAAATTTTACTGCACAAAAAAAGTATATATGGAATAATTTCATTTATTTGAAGTTCAAAATCGGGCATAAGTAGCCTACGGTGCTGGGGTCTGCAGAGCACTGGAGGCCGACTCAGGGGTGTCA